CAGCCTGGAAGCAACCGTTACAGTGGGTGTTGGTTCAGAGTGGGAGTTGGCCGAGGGTGGGATATGGCTCAGGGTGGTAGATGGTTCAGGGTGGGAGTTAGAGAGAAGAGGAACAGAAGTAGTAGTATTATTATTATCAATTTTAAACAGCATGGAGGGACTGTGAGAAGATAACATTTCACAACATTTAGTCACAAGGTTTTTAGTTTTTTTGTTTTTTTATTATTTTTGGAGAAATTAAAATTCCATCATCCCCCTGTCTATCTGCTTTATTGATTAAAAAGCTGGACAGCAGTGACTCCAGTGACATGTCCAGTTATCGTACTGAAAGATTTGTTCTCTCTCAAGGACAGATCAGCTCATCTAGCTGCCAAATGCATGTTCTATCATAGTAACTGTGGCGGACCACCTGGCACCCTGACTAGGTACCTCTGACATTCACGCTTCCTAGTAGTCGCCAAGTATCATAAGCACCAGACACCATAACAACTTTAATCCCCTTAGCCGCTGCAGCTTGGCTGGGGTCTCGCCATCCCTTCCCACCCGGACCAACACCTGGATTTAGCTCCCAGTGGGGTAGACCTCTCCTCCAAGATGGCATAGCAAGTATTGGGTTTCCAACAGAACATTACAGGGAAATCCCTCCCATAAACCTCTGTGTCTGAGAGATAATTTCCTGAGCAAACACTTATACTTTAATTATCTCTCAGGGACAAAAAAAGATAACCACTTATAAAACACCCCAAAATACTTGTAAAACAACCATGTACCCCCTCAAGTCCTATATCCCCGGATAGCCGGGATCTGATTGCACAACATACTGAAAAGACGATCCGATCCCACGAACACAGCCGAGACGGCACTGGGGTAAAGTTTTGACCGACCGCACATGAAGCTCCTGCCCAAAATAGTTCCATGAAATCAGTGCTAGCAGTCCGTCTCTTTTGGGAGTACAAAAGTGAATAAAATACCGAACATAATCCATAATTACAATGTGTAGCTTGTTCACCTCGTCCATGCGAACGATTTCACCGAACAGTGCTCTTCCAGGTTGTGTAGAAACGAACGCAGACGATGATGGAAGTCCAGCGGTGTTCGGGAGTTTCAGTGTCCGATTTTAGTTCCATGAGCTCAACGCCCAAAAACCGCTGCCTGCCTTCGTGGGAACAAGACCACCTCGTGGTCGTTCATACGAACTGCGGCCACCCAGACGAACAATTTGAACACTGAGGTGGAAATTGCTACAAGGTGTCAGTTGGGCTTAACAAGTACACGGGTGGTCCCTGGTTTGTGCGGTTGTTCGGTTCCCGAACGGTATAGGGAAATTACACGAACTAAGACATTTAAAATGTATTTTACAGTTCTTTCTGCAGGGCCCATAGTCCTGAGGCAGGAGGCTGGTAAGCAGGCTCCTCCAGGAGCCCTCGCGAGGTCACATTCACCAAAGTAACGTGTAACGGCACCCTCAGCATCAAATAGTAAAACCGCCGTTTAGTTAATCCTCCCCTCTCACCATAACGTAAGCTGCATTCGTACCAACTCCAATCATACGAACTGCAAGCAGGGGAATACTCCAATCTCCCGAACGGGACCCGTATGGGTACTTCACTTCCCAATCAGTAAACTCACGAATCGCCGCTAACAGCCGAAACCATATATCTCCCAAGCGGCTAATAATTCCATCCGGCAGTCGCTATTCGTGTAGTAAATTCACCTCCAATAACGAGACCAAGCTCCGCATTGAGGGTAAAACATGAACTGGGTTTACTGTGGGCTACCCGCCCGTATTTATGCAGGTACCCCACTTGGTGGACACTCCCCTAGGGGACCAAATGGGAGACTGATGGCAGATGGAGATACAGCATTTCAGGACACACAGGCACATAATATTCCCAGCATGCATCATGGTTTCCTCCCCTCTGCCCTGGAGATAATTGAGAAGTAATTCAATTATCTCCCAGGACAGAGGCAAATCGCCATTTTAGATGCAACACAAAAAACACATAAAAATATATAATTTGACAACTACCGAACATTTCCCATTCGTGTAACGTATCCCCAGATAGTCTGGATCTGAGTGCATATTATTGGCGAATAGCGCTCAGATCCCATACGCACAGTTCAATCGCCATGGAGTCAAAGTTTTGTACAGTCTTTCGGTATGCGATTGACTCCATGGGAAGGCTATCTGGGTTAAGTCCATTCGTGCGGTTCAAACTCCCGAACGGCCGGTGTTCGCATGCCTTGGTCAATGGAGAAGGGAGGTCGGTGGTTTTAGCGGTGTTCGGCAGAAAAAGTGTCCGTTTTCAGTTCCATAGAATCCGTGCCGAACACCGCTGGTCTTTCGCCTGTCTTAAAATGGCCGCCGC